TTTGATACTAATATCGATATTTTTTTGTCAAATTTTTATGATATCGTCAAACATATATTTTATTCAAAAATAAAAACATCATCGCTTTCTCAAAATCATATAAASTCATATTATAACATCGACTGAGATAAAGAATAAAATGAAATATTAAAAACACGATGTATCTYGCTGCATTGCGCGAGTACGCTTCTAGTAATATTTAATACATTTAATAATTTAAGTTTTTTTTTTTTTTAACAAATTTGAGTGAGAGAGAGAAAGTGGAGAGAGATTGGAGGGGGGATAATTAAAAAATAATTTGTTACAAAGATATTTAAGTAGGAAAATTTTATCCTCTCATTTAATTTTTCTATTTTAAAGTTTGAAAAAAATATATCTATATTATATTATAAAGTATTTGACAAAAAATTTTAAAAATCATTTTTTTATAAATGAAGTACTGTATATTGATACATATTATTTAAAATTCAAAATTACAAGTAAATTATGCACATATACAATTTATTAAAGTTCCATGTTTGAATTTGTGTAACTAACCGCGGATAAACATCTCATTTTAAAATATAAAAAATCTAAAATATAATTAGGATAATTATCAAGTTCGAACAAAATAATTAATTATTATCTTTATAAGAAAATTATATTATTAAACCAAATATAAATTATTTCGTTATTAAAATTAAATTAAATTATAATAAAAAATCGAATTAAAAATGACACAAAAAAGCGAGGAATTTTAAATAGTTAATTTAATATTAATAACGTATTATTTTTGTGAAATTTTTATGATATTTTCAAATTTACATTTTATTAAAAAATAAAAACATTATCGTTTTTCCAAAATCACATAAGACCATATAATAACATCGACCAAAATAAAGAATGAAATGGAATATTAAAATCAAGATGTATCTCGCTGTATTGCGCGAGTACCATTCTAGTATTATAAAACATTTGAGAAAAACTTTTAAAAACCATTTTTTATGCATGAAATACTGTTTATTAATGCATATTACTTGAAATTCAATATTACAAGTAAACTGTGCGCAAATACAACTTATTAAAGATTCTTGTTTGAATTCATGTAACTAACTTAAGATAAAAATAGTCAAATAGAGGATAAACATTTCATTTTTAATATAAAAAAACTAAAATATAATTATGATAATCATTAAGTTCTAACAAAATACTTCATTGTTATTTTTATAAAAAAATATATTATTAAACCAAAAATAAAAAAATGAATCAAAGAAATACACAAAAAACCGATAAACTTCAAATAGTTAGTTTGATACTAATATCAATATGTTTTTATTTTTTATATATTTTCATATTTATATTTTATTCAAAAATAAAAACAGTATCGCTTTATCAAAAACCACATAAAACCGTATTATAATATCGACTAAGACAAAAAAAAGCGAAACACTAAAATTGAAATGTATCTCGTTGCATTGCACGAGTATCTTTCTATTACTTTATAACACGAGGTTAGACAATTTTCCAATTTAATAATTTTTAAAGGGTATTAATTTATTTCATTTCCTTCGATTCCCTCCTGTAAACAAGGTTTTGAAAAGAAACTTAAAATTATTTTTCTTCTATTTCATTTTGTTTTTCTCATAAAAAAGTTTCGAGAGCACGGTTTTTTTCAATTTTCTCCTCTTGTCTTCACTTTTCTTTGTAGAAAAGATTTCGAGAACGTAGCGTTAAACTCTTTATTTTAGGAGGTAAGATGAATTTGCGAGATTTTGTTTTTTAAATTTGAGTTTGCGAGATTTTGAGATACTGTGGTGCGGTCAAAGAAATCGAGTTTTGTGTGTGACAGTTTATAGGATAAGTGGGAACGATATATTATTACGTCGCGTTTATTACATGTAATAATATATAAATCCAGAATATTCAATTTTGGTGTTTTTCGAAAATAAATAAATAAATAAACTGTGGCATTTGCCCAACTGATTCATTCCACCATTGACGATGCTTTATTCTTTCTTTACCCATTGCCATTGCCTTTGCCTCTCCCTTCTCAACCTTTCCCCCAATTTTCAACTCTATTTCTGCTCTCAACTACCATCATGTATCACTGTCTCATCTCTACTTTCCAACCACCGCTGAACTGCACACTCCATATCACCCACGATTCCGGTTTATCCACTCTCCGGCAAAAACCCTTCCCTAAAGACTCAACTTCCTTGATCCTGTCCACAAGAACAACAAGACTCCCAGATTTCAAGATCATGGCTAAGAAAAAGGCTATAGAAGGAGTGAGCGATCAGATGAATGCGATTGCGTCTCAGAACCTTGATCACGCACCTGCTCGCCGAAGAGTTCGATTAGCTTTCACTCAAGTTCAGGAACAACTCGATCACGTCTTGTTTAAGGTTCGGTTTCAATTTTTTAATCCTCCGATTGAGTAAATTATTTATTTTTTGGTCATTTTTTTTACTAATTGAAGATTTTATGCTTGTTCTGATTGATGGGTAGATGCCTCCTACAGGAATCAGGACTGAAGAGGTGAGTTTCTCTGCGATTCAAGCTATATACGTAGCCTAGTAATTTATAGAACCATTCGTGTGTGATTAAGAAATACTGAGGGTTTTTACATATGTACTGTTTCAGAGTCCAATTTTGACTTTTACCTGTCAAATCAGTCGATTGTAAACATCAAGGTTGATAAGAATTGCTCTTTTTGTGGAATAAGTCTGAAACTACATCAACTATGTCGAACACTTTTGCCAAAACTAATGACATTGTTTGAATGTTGAAACTGAAAACTTAGTAGTTTGACCTTTCAATATCCGAAGTTCGCGACTCTAGTTGTCCGAAGGAGGTAGCATCAGTTTGTTATGGATTCTACTTGTAAGCATCTCACATTTTCCATTTGGGGTCACAAATTACAAGTAGCTCATTTAGTTGAGAACAATTCGATAAACCTTTCACTAGAAAACAAAGTGATGTACCCAAATATGTATCTCCACTAGGAAAAATTCGAACATTCATTCATCTATTTAGCTGTGTGGCCGCAAGGGGTGCACGCTATGATTTGATCATTAACATTTTCGCTTCGTGGGTTCCAATTAATTTGGTGTTGGAGAGGTTTCAGGGAGTTAAACATGTGAAGCAAAGCCGTTTGACTAGTTGGTGTTGGAGAGGTTTCAGGGAGTTAAACATGTGAAGCAAAGCCGTTTGACTAGTTGGCGTGGGAGCGGTTTCAGGGAGTTAAGATGTTTTGCCTGCAAGCTACATTGTATAATTGACTTTTAATCTCGAACTGATTAGTTTATAACTTCAAAAGATAGAAACTTTTTGAACTATAATACTGAAAATCAATATGAAATATTTGTTTGAGCACTTGTCTAACTTTTCAGTCTCAAAAGTGAATCTAATTATGAGGGGGAGGGAGTATGTTAAAGAGACTTCGCTAACTTACATATTAAGGCAATCAAATTCCCCATCTTTTGCATATCTATGTTCGGATGTATTTTCTACTAACTAAACATACATCTTTTACGTTGTAGTGGTTTGAGATGAACTCAAAGGGTCAAGAAATTTTCTGTAAAAGTTGGTTGCCAAGGCCTGGAGTCCGAATCAAAGCCGCCGTCTGTTTTGTCCATGGATATGGGGATACTTGCACCTTTTTCTTCGAAGGTTTGTGGCCATAACCTCAGCAACTGTATGCGATAGTCATCAAATTCCGTTCTTTAAAGAAAATACCAACTTTCAGGCATTGCAAAGAGAATTGCTGCTGCGGGTTATGGTGTTTATGCCATTGATCATCCCGGTTTTGGCCTTTCTGAAGGGCTGCATGGATATGTTCCCAGCTTCAACGATATAGTTGACAATGTAATTGAACAATACACAAAAATAAAAGGTATGATGTTTGTAGCTTAACTCGTGTCCCCTTTGTTCTTAATCCTCTAGATTTTACTTCTAATGGTCAAACAAACTGTTTTCAAATTCAAAACAAGAAGCCTATTTGTTTCCCTTTGTAATATTAGTCTATAAGCACATGAAATTCCATGTGAAGTGCTACAAACTGGAAAAGTGGGTGTTAAAAATGTAAAAACCTCTTTTGAAATTTGAATATCTTGACAGGCAGACCCGAAGTGAGAGGGATGCCTCGGTTTCTGCTGGGGCAGTCGATGGGAGGTGCCGTTGCACTTAAAGTTCATCTTAAAGAACAGCGTGAATGGGATGGTGTAGTTCTTGTGGCTCCAATGTGCAAAGTAAAGCTCTTTCCCTGATATTAATGATGTAACTTAGTTTGCCAGTTAAAAGTGTTTTGACCCACAATTTGCTTCAAAGATTGCAGAGGAAATGAAGCCCCCGGAACCACTGCAAAAAGTTCTAATCTTTTTGTCAAGAGTCATGCCAAAAGCAAAGTTTGTACCACAGAAAGATCTTGCCGAGCTGGCCTTTAGGGACCCGCAGAAGAGAAAATTGGCAAGCCTTTTTACCTCATGTTGCTTTGCATTTTTGTAGTTCCGTTTGTTAGGAATTTGAAAGATAGCATGGCGTTACTTATTTTTCAGGCTGACTACAATGTCATAAGCTACTCAGATCAGACGAGATTAAAGACTGCTGTTGAACTTCTAAATGCCACAAACGAACTCGAGTCACAAGTGGAAAAGGTCTGTTTTTTTCCTTGCGTATTTTTGAGGGTTATTTAGCTAAATGATCTCTTGAGAAGTGCTTTTTATATCCACAACCTTTTGACAAGTGTCTAGGCATTCTTATTAATGGATGTGACGTTCTTCTGATAAGCAGTGACACTTAAATCTGTCAAGAAGGTAGAAATTATAATTTTTCTGTCTTTTACCTAGGTCCGCAAGTGGGGGAGGTACCACTTGCGGAGGTAGTGACGCTTGGATAAATCAGGGAGAAGAATGGGTAGGGAGACCAATTCATGAGTATATCGGCCAATTTCCCTTCAAATAAACACTTTGTTAGAAAGTGATTTAACCAAAGGGCCCGAAACAGTTAACTTTCTGAAAAACTTGCAGGTTTCATCACCATTGTTGATCCTTCATGGAGCTGCAGACAAGGTAACAGATCCTAATATCAGCAAGTTTCTTTATGAAAAAGCTGCTAGCAAGGACAAAACCTTGAAGCTGTACGATGGAAGTTATCACTGCATTCTTGAAGGTGAATCTGATGAGAGAATATTCGAGGTACTTGATGACATTACTGCATGGCTTGACTCTCATTCCGCTCTTCGATAGCCATTTTTGTTGGTCTTCAAAGCAATTCTTCAGATCAAAGAAAATCTGTTCAAATTGCACCAAAGCAACGCATTTGATACATTAGATCGGATTCTTTATTCTTTTTATTACCATATTTTGGTGAATTTTGATGAACATCTATGTTGTTTTTGTGTAACAAATAACAATCTTGTTTTTCTGCATTATTTTATGCGTTCGTTTGTCAAGAGTGTTGGTGATATTATAGTGATTCTTCATGCAATTAGATCTAAAAGGGGTTATAATTAAGCTATTAACACGGATTAAGAAGTGTGGAATTCAAAGCTAGTTTGTATAAGCTACCCACTACCCACGGCTAGATCAGTGGATACACACACTGATGACGGTAAGTGATTACCCAATGATGCTACCCACTACCCACTCACGGTTATGAGTGTTTACCCACTTATACTAACCGGGCTTATCAATGTTTAATGTTGATTAGTGGGTACACCATTAATGCTATTTTCCTAACTGCTATGAAGCTTGTGTGTAACCTCATATAACTTCCAGATGACTATTGGTAAATATTTGGTAATCTCTTACATGTAAAGAGTATTTTCGTTCTCATCTTTACATACGAGAATCAATAACTTTTTTTGTGTTTTTGCTCTCTATTTTTTTGTTGTTGCCAAAACCATAAGGGCAAATCCTGATTATCATCTAGTAAATTTCGTGTAACCCAGGTGGAAATAGTAGCTTCAGATGAGGTCGAGCTACTAGTGGAATGGCCAAAGAGGCTTTCATTCTTTGATTAGGTAGATTTTTTCAGTTATTCAATGAAAGCGTCCATGAAACCTGCAACAAGATAATTGATATCATCTATTCTCGTCCTGCCTTCATAATATCTTCCCAACATCACTTATGGACCAATAGTCCGAGACTACAAAAAGGTAGAACATCATAAAATTAAACTTTCGTTAGCGTTATTATAAACGTTTATTTTGCTAAGCTCGATAAGAGCAGGGGCGGACCGCCTAAGGGGCCTATAGGGGCCCTGGCCCCTGTGATTTTTTCCCCAATTAGCATAGAACAGTGTAATCCATTACCTTCTAGATTCAAAAAAATTCAACCGGCCTCCCCCTTCCAAATCCAATCCTGAGAGGCGAGCGAGAGCGACTACCCACTGCCGACTGCAGCCTGTGTGAGGACGAGGAGGGCGACTAGCGTTAGCGTAGACGGGGACTACGGCAGGCGTAGACGGAGGCACGGAGCCACGGAGGCGGAGGCGGCGGCCTGCAGGCGAAGGCGGCGGCCAGCCACGGTAACTCCCGGTCCCGGTAAGTCTGTCCTTCTCAGTTCTCTCATTCTCTGCTGACTGAGTTCTCCGCCCTTGTACTGGCCTACAGCCTACTGCTTGCTTCTCTGCTGACTGCTGCTTGTTGCACACTTGCACTTCACTTGCACCTTTTGTTTTGAAATCAAAACCCAAAAGTGGTGATTTACAGTTTACTGATTTAGCATTTAGGTGATTATTAGGGCTAAATTTACTGAAATTGGTTATATGGTGATTTACTGATTATTAGGATTTAGGGCTAAATTTACTGAAATTGGTTATTTAGAGATGCCTTTGGTTGGTATTTGCAATCATATATGTGTGGAAATTAGCTGATTTAGGTGATTTAGGTGTATTCCAATATGAATTGAAATCATACTATCTAACACTAAAATTAAACCATATGTAGAGTATAGATATAAGCTATAAAATTAAACCATTAGTGATTGGACATTGGTCTTCTCCCCTGTTCTGCTGCTCTTTTTGTTTTGAAATCAAAACCCTAAGATTAGGCCAGTAAATAGTTCTTGTTCCTAGACCAGTGTAAAGAAGTTGAAGAATGTTCTCACTATTGAAAAAAAACCTTATAGAAACCCAAAGAGGCAAAGAGTGATTAATAGAACTTCTTGAAGAAACAAGTTGTGTGTGTGTTTTCAGTAAAAGGTTGATTGGGAAGAAGGGTATCAGTCGGATAATCAAAGCTTAGCCATCCAAACCATGGTGAGAAAGTTTGAGAAGGGGACATATGTTCCTCTTATAGGAAACTCTAACTCAATGTGCTTATAAGAGAAAGTTTGAGAAGGGGACATATGTTCCTCTTATAGGAAAGTTACAGCAATTAGAGGATATTTCTTGATCATGTTTTTGCTCCAAAGTTTTTTTGTCTTCTAGAAGCAACACACCGTTTGTCAAGTACATTGTGTCTTTGCACCTTAGTAGTCCTAGACATAGCCGGTACATTGTGTCTTTGCTTCATGTTATGATAGGAGACTTGCTGTCAGGTGATTCATGGAAGGCGACACTCTGTGGAGTCAGTTCTGTTGTATGTATTGCCATCTTCTTACTAAATTTCCCTGATAAAAAGCTCTTTTTTGTTAGCTCAAAAAAGAAGAAAATATGAAAAGCTTACATGTATCTTTGTTTGGTTTTCCTTTCTTCTTCCCTTTGCTGTTATGTGCTATCTTTCGTAGTTSATAACTATCACTCGGTTTGTTTCTAYTTTCGATCATTAAACTAGTTTTAATCTGTGCGTTAATCTTCCAGATCTCTTGTGTTGGTGGTTTTGGTTCCAATTCCCACATGTGCTATTATGTGCTATTGGTGGTTTTGGTTCCAATTCAATCGGTTTGGTTTTCGGTTTTGCTGTTTTGCTGTTATGTGCTATCTTTCGTAGTTGATAGTGTATTTTTGGTATTTTTGAAAATATATAATATTAGGTCCGGCCCCTGCACTTGGAAAGTTTGTGTTCCGCCCCTGGATAAGAGGTCGGAATAATTGACATTGGTTTGTGATTCGTTGCCATTAACATATCGTTTGTAATTGGAGAGCGCTCTTATATTAATAAAAAAAACCCATACATAATTCCCCTTTTTTTAACATTCCATTTTTAGAATTATTTCTTTGATTAATTATCAGAATTTCCGTTCTCATTTGTTAACTTGACTTTTAAAATAACCGTAGTGGTGAAAATGGGATGTGTTAAAGTTAAGGGACCAAAGTTGTAAAAAGTCGAAACCCACGGCGAAAAACAACCAAATTGTCAACTATGAACAGACGAAGTTGATCGACCATCGGCTGGTACATCAATATACTCTGGATACCATCACCACCGCCGCCGCCGCCGTGCAGTGTATGATTGATTGCGTTCGGCATCGATGTCGCTCTTGAACCAAATCTTTAATAGGGGACTTATCGGCGCAAAATGGTCAGTTAGTTGACCCTCTTTCCCAATTCTCAATTCTGGAGGCTCTTGCAATTTACCTTAGGTTTTCTTTGTGCTTGATCTTGTAATTGTTTTCCCTCAAATTCTATGAATCTTCAATATATCTCAGTTCCAATTTATTGTTACATACAGACCCACAAAGTTTTGAAGTTAAATTTGTTAGTGTTTGGTTTAATTTTGGGATCAATGCTGTGGTGTTTAATGGTTTCAAGATCAACAATTATATGAAACATCCTTCAGTTTTTCTTTAAAAATCCGAGCCCACCAAAGAATACAACTCAGAGCAAGATCAGAAGTTAATACTGTGCTGTTATATGTTGCAATCACGCTCAAAATTTAGGAAAAGTTCAGATTTTTGTTGTCAAATATTTCACTTCTGGTGACCAAAATTGATGGATATTTATTCAAGATCTAGAGACGAACAAGAATACGATGGAAGTCATAAAATGGAATATCATAAAAATTGCTGCAGTTTTCGAAGTAAGAGCAGAATCAAGGGAAAAATAACCCTTTAGACTGAAAAAGTAAAAAATACATCTCTAAATTTGGAACAGAGGAAGTATGTGAGTGTTAGTCATCTGAAATAGTGCCTTCTAACCAGATAGATTTTAGTTCAAGAGAAATCTCTCCATTTTGATGAACAATTGGCGATGTTGGGTATTATTGCAGTAAAACATGCCTGACCTTGGCCATATCACGGATAAAATTGCTTCAAAATAAGAGGGATATGCAGCTGAAGCTTATGCGCAAGGAAATAGCTCAGTTTCTTCAATCTGGGCAAGAATCGATTGCTAGGATACGAGTAAGTCTTTCATTTTTTTGTGGTTTTCTTGTTCAAATTATTTGCTTTTCAAGCATCATAAGAATTCAATTTTCTTTTTCAGGTGGAGCATATTATAAGAGAACAAAATATATGGGCTGCGTATGAGATCTTGGAGATGTTCTGTGAGTTCGTTCTTGCACGAGTTCCTATTATTGAAAGCCAGAAGTAAGGCCATTTGAAAGATGATGCATACACTTGCAATTGAGTTAGTTAATGTGCTTATAGTTATAGATGCCTAGAGTAGCATTAGTGCTTAAATTTCATAAATAGGTAACATCAATAATGTTTATGCATCTCAACTGTGATAAGATAACTTGAAAGAATACTAATTTTGGCAAGATATGGTTATAGTAGTCAAAGATATGATTATGCAGTAAAGGACACATTAAAGTTTGTAGGAAATAGAACCAAATGGAACCCTTTTCTAGGTTTTATAAGGATGTAGGTTAAAAGAAGTAAGATATATAATCATGAAGTTCTTGATTGACGCCTGATGTGCGTATGGTCAGGAAGGCAACATGTATTAAAGCTGGGCGTTCAATGAAAAATTCAATGCCGGAAACGATTCTAGAAGTTAGCCTTTTATCTTCTTTCTTGAAAGTTTTATGCACTTAATCGAACTATTATAGCAGTAACAAAGACCCAATAAACTTGGGGTTCGAAGTCAATACAGTAACAACTAGCAACAGATTTTGGGCTATGGTTGATTTCTCTTCTTCAATCTTTCAAACTTAATATGATGAATAAAAAAGCATTGTGTTTTCTAGCTAATATAAGAAACTAAACTGAAAATAATTTGCAGAAGTTCTACTTTTCTAATATAACCGGTTTGATGCATATTAAGAGAAAAAGAGTCAATTTCAAAGTTGTTTGTGTGATTATGCACATGTGCAAGCTATGCCCAGAAAAGACCTGTAAAAAGTAAAAATAGACACTTGTTTGTTCGCCTTACATCCAAGTCCCAGAATTTTGTGCAACCTAACAAGATTAAATTCAATAAATACAGCTAGTGTAGCAAAGTGGCATAAAAGATCTAGTAAATCTAACTAGAATTGTGGATAGAAACCACCATGAGATTGGCAAAAGTAACCCCATAAGCGGCTAGGAAAGATCAAAATTTAAGATAGATTGTTGACGATAGAATGAACTAATGATTAACACTGCCTAGTTTTGCCTCAACTATTTTCTTGTTTGGTAAATCCTAGTCGCTGAAAGCTTTGTTAGAAAGGATATAGACATCATTTAGTGATTCACTTTAGTACTCTATTGAAACTGTCAGATATTAACCAATCCTCTAGAAACACAAGTTTTCATCTATGTTCATTGTTTTCTTGTTCAAATCCTTCTTCGTGCTCTTTTTTTCTTCGGGTATTCTTTTCCTACTGGAACATCTTCTCAGAAAATCTCCATATACTGTTTATTTATTTATTTTATTGTATCTTCCTGAATTTTATTATTGATTTTTGAGGGTTATGTTTATGAATCTGATTGAGTGCATCTTAGATATTCTATTTGCATAAGCTTCACTTTCTGGTTAACTTTGAAGTTGTAGAAGCCATGGCTATAGTTGGTTCTGCATCTTGACAATTATCACTAGTTATGTATATGTGTGTGTGCATGTGCGCATAACATTTTCTTTGTTTTTTGAGGTTTATGCATATGAATCTGATTAAGTGTATCTTAGATATTCTATTCGCATACTTAAGATTCATTATGTTTTGGTCTTGCACAAGTTTCACTTTCTGGATTAACTTCAATGCTGTTGAAGCTATAGCTATAGTTGGTCGATCTTGCACCTTGACAATTGTCACTAAACCCTAAAAATGTGTGTTTGTATGCATGTGCCTGTGTGTATATATCTATGCGTGTGTAGATATGCGTATGTATTCAGTTGCAGTTTCGTATTAATGTTTTGAAATAAAACAGGGAATGTCCGTTGGAGTTAAAGGAGGCAGTTGCAAGCATAATCTTTGCAGCTCCTAGATGCTCAGATTTGCCAGATTTGTTGAGTGTTAGAAATTTGTTTGCCACAAAGTATGGGAAGGAGTTTATTTCAGCTGCCTCTGAGCTTCGCCCTGATACTAGTGTCAACCGTACAGTTAATTCGTCGTACTTCCCATATATTTACCCATCTGAGATTTGCTTACATCCCATACAACTTATATGATTTATGTTCAATTTTTTGTATTTCAGATAATTGAGAAACTTTCAGTTTATACTCCCTCCGGTGATGTGAAGCTCAAAGTCTTAAAGGAAATTGCACAAGAGTACCATGTCTCATGGGATTCTTCTAAAACTGAAGCTGAATTCAACAAAATGCCTGAGGATCTTTTGGTACATAAACTTGTTGTTTTCCTGAAAATCTATAAATGTCACTACAACAAAATCGGCTTTATAGGACGCCAAATATGTATAAATATCCAAATAGACTGCTTTATAGGACTTAGGTTTATAGAACTAAACAATTGTGCTAATATGTAAAACTGTTACAAGAAGTTGATTGGACGCTTTTGAGCGTCCTAACATCAACCATAATAGAGAATGCTACATATGGAATAACGAGTAGTAGATATTAGATTTGTTGCATAATGGTTCCTATGGTAACTTGTAGAATGGGCCAAAGCAAATACCGGCTGCGACGGCACAATTCCCTGAGAATCGTAAAGAATCCCCTAAAGCCGTACATCGTCCGCCAGCAATCAGTAGTCAACGAGGATCCGTCCAGGCTCTTCAACCTCCCATAACCGCCATGTCATCAAGTCCTACCAAACCCAAACAAGCATCAGCTGAGAGTCAGGGAAGACCGTCAGAGTCACCTGATGTCTTGGAGAAAGCTCGTGCTGCCATTGCTGCTGCAGATCGTGCATCAGCCGCTGCTCGTGCCGCTGCTGAATTGGTTAATATCAATTTTAAACCGCTTACGTTAGAAGGGGGGATAGTTAATTCTACATAAGTTTATACAAACTGTGAACTCTCTTTTTATGGTGTGGAGTGAATGTCTAGTTTTTTCTTGTGATAGTTGGGAATGAAAAGGTTTGATCATCCTGTATTTGCTAGAATTGTGCAAACTTAACTTAGACTCGTTACTAAAGAAATATGCAAATATATGGGTTATTTTGTTACTTCTTTTTTGTTGTATTTACGAAAACAACCATTCTATTATTTAAGATAGAGGTCAGGTTTGTATAGATGTCACCTTCTATACAGACCCTATTTTTCAGTGGGATGTACCTGATTGGGTTGGTTTTGTTTGGTTAATTTTTTTTTGATTAACCTGGATATCTAACCCGCTATGCGAGCCGACTAATCACCTGCTTTGCAGATAGCCCGGAGTGATCGCATTTGAACCTCCATGCCATAAGGAGATTTTTATTCCATCTTGGATTTGAACCTGAGACCTTCAGGTACTTTTTGACTTTTGGAGCCAAACTCAAACCAATCAGGCACCGCCCTTGTGATTTTAACTTTTTTTTTTCTTAACAAGGGGATTTGAACTTTTAGAAAATGAGAAAAGAGGATATAAATTATGAAGAAGATGGTTTGGAGGTTAAGCTCTAAACCAAATGACCTCTGTTCTGTCAATCTCATAATTCTGCAGAAAAGAGAGAATCGAAGAGAAAGATGGCAGAGAAAGGAAATTGAAGGGTCCATGGCAATGAAGTTTTCGATGGCTGTTAGGATGTACGTTTTCAGGGATATGATATCAGTGATCGGTCCTATGTTTTAAGTAATTGATATACGGATGTCGTAATACCATTTAAGAAATGACAACTGTTATGCCATTATTGTGCATGTGTTCGACACATCTTAATTATATTCAAATTTAATAGATCGATGCTACCAATCGAATTATTATTATTGATTGAAAATTTGAAATACTTAATATTTATACACATGGAAAAACTCACCTTAAAAAAAGAACCTGAGAGCCAATATATATATATATATATATAGAGAGAGAATTTATTGTAAGAAGGTTAAGAAAAAATCTTCATCCTTAAATTAATTCTAATTGAATGTCAACACTAATGAGGTGTATCGAGATACACCTATTCAATCTCTTCAAAAGCATAATTCATGAGTGAACATGAGATTAAAGGTAATTAAGAGTTCAATTTTCTTCTTATATTTCTCACCATAATTTCTCTTCTCAAACAATCCTTCATCTATATATATGCATATATATATATATATATAGAGGAGCGATCAAATGAAAACTATCATCATTTGTAAAAACCGTACAAACCATCCTCATACGTTGATTTCGTTATTTAATCTTATGAAATTTTTTCATGAAATTGTTTAATCTTATGAAATTGTTTCATATAATAATTTTTTTGATGAATTTGTTTCATATATGGTTATGAAATTGTTTCATATAATATTTAATGAAATTTTAATGAAACTGTTTCATTTATTTCTCTAAAATTAAAACAATGAATATATCCATGATTAACACCATCCACATAAAAATGGTTAATCAACATCTCATAATTACAAAAATATGAACAACATGAAAAATTATTATTGGTTGAATGAGGTTTTTATGGTTTTTACAAATTGAGTGGTTTTTATTTGAACGCTCCCCTATATGCATATATAATTTTTCAACCAATAATAATTTTTCATTTTGTTCATATTTTTGTAATTATGAGATGTTGATTAACCATTTTTATTGTGGAGGGTGTTAATCATGGATATTATCATCTTCATTGTTTTAATTTTAGAGAAATACATGAAACAGTTTCATTAATGTTAGAGAAATACATGAAACAGTTTCATTAAATATTATATGAAACAATTTCACAACCTTAAACAATTTCATGAAAAAATTTCATAAGATTAAACAATGAAATCGACAGATGAAAGTGGTTTGCACGGTTTACACAAATGAGGGCGGTTTTCATATGATCACTCCTCTATGCATATATATATATATATATATATATATAKAGAGAGAGAGAGAGAGAGAGAGAGAGAGAGAGTTTGTTTCAAATGGACGGTTGAGATTGGGTTGTATTGGTTGCATAAATGTCAAGGGTTGTATAATAACCAACCCCTATATATATGCATATATATATGTATATATATGTATACATGAAAGATCATGTGGGAATAAGAGTTAAGGTAAGAAACGTAAGAAGAGATCTAGATCCTTAATCATTTTTAATCTCAAAGTCACTCATGAATCGCGCTTGATACGAGGATTAATCCAATGCATCTCATCTCGGTGCATCTCATCTCGATGCATCTCATGCTAATGTGTATTCAAAGGTGGATATCGTATCTTATGTTTCTCACTTCAACTCTCTTTCACACACGCGCATGCGTGCGCGCACACACGCACACGCAAAGTTAGATTGGTATCATTTAGATGATCTACTGGTATATACAATGTTGTTCATATACTTGTAGACGACAGAAAAACTAACATCCTTAGCAAATATAAGTGAGCATTTCCCTTTCCATTCGTAATAGCCCCTTACAAAAATAATAGAGAGTAAGATTAAGAATTAAAAATATTAGAAAATAATTTCCAAGCCCAATGCTAAAGAAGAAAAAAATCGCAATAGACCGATCAACATCGATATCTTGAAAACCATGGTAATCTTGAAAGATTACCGATCTGAAAAAAATCATAACCCATCTTTCTTGATACACTCTTCTAGCATCAATGCAAAAATATTCTAGCATAACGTTTATCAAATTCATTAATAACAAACCAAAAATACTTATTTTTTTATGTTCTACATATACTTAAAGAATGTTATCTTATTTCATCAAGGATTCATATGTCACTTTGTCCACACAAAAAAAGGAATCATATGATTGCATAATTTCAATTTTAGTGTGATGTCTCCAATTAAAAGACGAAATACTATACTTACATCAACAAAAATGCAAATCACCTCCACAAAAACTAAATAAAGAGGAATAATTAAGAGATTAAGAGAGATTGTTATGCTTAAACAATGTTACATTGTTTCATCAATGATTCATATGTCACTTTATTCACACAAAAAAATTCATACATCTACATAATTTCAACTTTAGTGTGAATGTCTCCGAGTAAAAGACGAAATACTATACTTACATAAGCAAAAATGCATACCATGATTCGTCTTATTGAATGACGCCTCAAATCAACAAAAATGAAAATCGCCTCTACAAAATTATAACTAAATAGAGAGGAAGAACTGAGAGATTATCATAGAGGTGTACCATGAAGAGAAAATAAAAAATTATAACCTAATAGAGAGAAATAGTGAGAGTTAAAAGAACAGTTATTAGAGAATTAAAACATGAGTAAGTTGAAGTAACGTAATTAAATGATCTTAAATTTGAATATAAAAAATCACAAATAAATATTGAGGTGGGAGGAGCTTAAGAAAATGATAAAACACTTTCTAACTTTAAGAAGATAACACGTAATTGCACGTGGTTTCTTCTTTAATATATATTTCAAGTTACATATATTAATTTTTTGTGAATAAATAACTTACTTTTCTTTGAGAGTAAAATCATTAGTTTGATGTTAATCGGAGTAAATTATAAATTTCGTTCCTATAGTTATTGAAAATTTTGGATTGGATCTTTCGAATAAAATAATTATATGTATGATCACCATGGTTTCGTTTTTATTATAGATGGGGTCATTTATTATAACTCAACTAACCATTGCTCCATTAAGTATCCCTCACATGCATGCAGCATGCCCCTGATATTAGGGCAGTTTGGTCCTTTCATTTCCTTTTCTAAAAGAGTTGTTTATGGTACAAACTTAGATGCCATTTGTACAATTACATGAAGCATTTGAGGAGTTAAAAAAGAAAAAACATAAACCCAACAGGTTTGCTTCATCCTCCTCCTCTCATCTTCCCCGCTAACAAAGAACACAACTCTCTCTCACACACAACATAATTCAAACTGAGGTTGGTTTATACAACAAAACTGAAACCCAGAACTGAAAATGGAACAAAACCAAGAACTGATATTGGAACAAAAAGCAACAACTCATCGACAAACCATATCCAAATCAAAGTGCATCACGAGATTTCAACGAGTTCATCGGGTTTCTTTCGTCCCTTTATACATGAACATGACGATCAATCTCGATTCTAAATATGACCATTTCCTTCTATATACTTGGAATGCTGGTTGTACAACTCTCTTGAAGAAAAACAGCCTCGTACACCTTCTGTTTTGGATTCCTTTCTCCGACGCCATTCTTTCTCTCAACTCCGGCCACTACTACACATTATACATAATTGTAAATGAACGACCTCCTTTTGTCCGGTCAAAGAACGAAACACCACACCAGATTTCTAAAGCTACGATCATTTTTCTTGGGTTTCTTCTAGAAACTGATTTCTCGATGAACATGAACTTGAAGGAGTTTTTGGTTTCTGTTTTTCATGCAACCAATCAATCCTTCATCAATATCCGACACTAACCCTCCTTCTTCACACCTGCAACCCAACCGATCTCGCTTCACTGCTCGATCTTATACCTGCAACTTCTCGGGTTTTTGAAAAGGAGTGGAGGATGAACAGGGAGAAAGGTGTCCACATCTGTTTTGCGTATGAGTGTCGATCTGCGTAGGAGGTTTTCGTCCAAGGAGAAGGGGGAGATGAAGGAGGGGTTTGGGACGGAGCTAGGATATCTGCGTACGAGGTTTTCTGATCAATAGATTTGGTGGTTTTGGGACGGTGATCAGAGAGAACAGAGAAGAGAGAACGATGGTGAGTGGTCGTTGATACGTTAGGAGGAGGGTGCCGGAGTAAAGGAAAGGGCGCCGACCGGGAAATTCTTGGGGCGTCGGACATGTTTGAATACACGTTAACCTAATTTGTTGAAATGCTAACTTATCATAAGCTTATCGCTAAGTTTTTAATTTTAACAGTTATTAATATTAATTATTATTTATTACTATTAATTATAAATAAATATTAATAAAAATAATCTATTAGTAAATAAAAATAAAAATAAAAATAAATTATTAATAGTAACTAGAAGGGTACTCGCACGATGCAGCGAGATACATCTTTGATTTTAATATTTCATTTTATTTTTTATCTCAAGCGATGTTATAKGTATRGTCTTATGTGATTTTGAAAAAAAC